CTGTTGTGATTTTGTGGAGACATTGTGTGACCTATGCTTTTTTTGCAAGAAATCTATAATTACAATTTATTTTTATTAGTTCTCGCATCTACATTTAAACAAAAAATATTTAAAAAATCGTAAATAAAAATCTTTACCTGTGTAATTTATAGAGAATTATAAATGAATGTAGGTTATCATGGTTGTCGATTATACTTCGAAATCATTATCGTGTAAAACGTGATTTTCTGAATAAACATACTGTATAAATTTTCTAAAAATAAAAAAATAAACGTGCATCGGCCGGGAATCGAACCCGGGCCGCCCGCGTGGCAGGCGAGCATTCTACCACTGAACCACCGATGCTTACTGTTTGAAACAGTTAGTTAGGTACTTCCACGTACTCCAAGGTCAAGTGTATATATTTTTAGGTATTTTATATTAAAAATAAATTGTTATCATGAATGTAAAACCTCACAACTCTTGACTATTTTGATGATTTTTCCAAGTATATATTTGATAAGATAATCTAACAATATTTATTCTTTTAAAATGTTTTTCTACATTAACTTGGTAATACCTATACCACTTACATATCTTATTGCAGTGGCGTAACTACCGGTGTTCCGCGTGTTCGGCGGAACACGGGCCCGCTGTTTCAAGGGGCCCGGTCCGGTCACACGAACATTTCTTTTATTAGATTTTTTTTATATTATTGCCCAAATTACATTCTGAAATAAAAAATTCGAAAATGTGCGGTAATCCCAGGAGCGATGGTCGATCGCTATTTACGAATTTTTTCCTGCAAAGGGCGGCATCTCAATATCATAGACTCAATAAACTCGGGTTTTAGCGACCGGCACCGGCGGTCGAAAATGCGGCAGCATCTGTTTGTAATAAACCTGTTGCAGTGTCGCAATCTCATTGTAGCAAATCTAACACCCCATGTAGTAAATTACCAATCTTTATCCGACAAAAGTATGACTAGGTAATTTATGATGCAAGACAACAAAATACTTAAATTTTGTCCTCAGTTCTACAGTGAAACTTCATGCTGTAATAAAACGTGAAAAAAAAATCAGTTTCAGTTGTGTTTTATGAAAATTTTCGTATTTTCAAAACTATTTTAATTTTGTTCTTGTTGTGCTTTTTTGGAATAAGAAAATATATCTGACGTATGTTACAACTAATTTTTTAAGTAGAAAAAAAAACTGGACTGGGAAATTATTACAGAATGACCTACCTGTACTAGTGTCACTGAAATTATCACAGCATGTTTCACTTTTCTTACAATACCTCTTTCGGTGGTTTCAGCGGAAAGATCTTTTTCGATATTAAAAATGACTAAAAATTTTTAAGAAACAATGAGCCAATGCAGATTACCTTCATTGAATCTCTCAAATGGAAATCAAATTGCTAGAAGCTTAGATGTGTCAAATTTTGTATCAACTTGTGCCCATTGAAAAGCAAGAAGAAAACAATTTTGAGATTAAAAAAAAATGGGCATTTTATCTATACTTCTATACTTCTATAATTACTTATACATATTATAAAGTTGAAGAGTTTGTTTGGTTGAACGCGCCAATCTCCGAAACTACTGGTTTGAATTCAAAAAATCCTTTTGTGTTGGAAAGTCCGTTTATCGAGGAAGGTTATAGGCTATATAACATCACCCTATGATTAATAGGAGCAGAGCAGAAATGAAAAATATCGAAAAAACGGGAAAATTATTCTTCCTTTGACAGCTTCCGTTGCTTACGCTGCTTATTAAACGGTTAAAGTTACATAAAAATCATGTATGATGGAATTGTTCCCTTCTAAAAGTTCTAAAAAAAAGTCCGCGACAGCATACGTCAATCTTTTAAGGTCGACTCAGTAGAACCTTTTTTATGGTAATGAATTTTTTTCTAAAATAATTTAATATAAAATTCTGGTGTCACAGTGTTTGTAACCAATCTCCTCCGAAACGCCTTGACCGATTTTTATTAAATTTTTTGTGTATATTCGATAGGTCTAATAAACTATTTTTTAAACCCCTAAGTGATAAGGGTGACCCACCAAACTTTTTTTATTTTTTAAACAACATTTTTTATTTTTATTTTTTTAAGATTTGGCATCAAAAAATACATATAACCCTAAATTTTGACCCATCTACCACCAACCCCCATTTTTTAATAACGATATGAGTATCTTTGCTTTCATCCACAGATGCGCAATAGGGTTGCAAGATGGCCATTGCATATAAATAATCATTGTCGTACGATAAATTTTTATGTATTTATTTTAATTTAATTTTTTATTTAACTATGTACCAAAATATTCACTAGAAATGCCAAAACAACGTTTGCCGGGTCGGCTAGTTTCTAATATTGTATATATTTTAATTATATGTCTTCAGGTAATTATTGTATTTTATTTTTTTAATTCAATGTTTCAGGTAGAATGATTTTAATAAAACGTTAGCGCTAATTGCAATCTGCTCATTATTTATTCATTATACTCGTATTTTTAAATATTTTTATTTCGCTGTTCATTAGGGGCCCCACAGTGTTGTAGAACACAGGCCCGCAGTTTGATTGTTACGCCACTGTCTTATTGTCATGAAAGTTCCGTTATAGATGTTTTGTTAAGTGTTATATTATACACAGAGTAATGCGTAACACCTTTGAGGCGAAACAATAATAATAATCCGTCTCTATATACAGCTTTGTTGACTGCCAGAAGTTCTGACAACACTATTTTCTAATTGGCTGGCTACTGGTTGAACTCCAAAATATCAATGACAATAATCGCAAGTTAAATTAAATGATATTGTTGTATAATTAATTAATTAGAAACTGATAGGTGGTCCAAGCTGAACATGAACATGAACATGAACTCTGCTGTGTGGGTAATGTTAAAAATGTACAAAAAATTTTAGTCAAATTAAAACAACCTGAAACAGTTTTGAGTTACATTATAGGTACTTGAGTTGATCAAAAGGCGTTGGAGCTTCAGCGTATGATTTTGCGGATATTCAAACAATATAATGAAAAGAAAAAAAATGGTCGAAGGTTATTTCGACTGAACTTCCTTCGCCCCTGAAGTACATACATACAATAAAACATCCAGCTTTTTCGACAAATTACAAAATCTGATTTTGGAAGTTTCATTTTTTATGAGAACCCCTATAAGTTAAAATAAAGATATGTATGTAATGTTAAAGTAAATGTAAATAAGCGTGCTACGCATACGTTTCAAATTAGTTTCTCCTTTAGAAAATTAGGTATGTGATGACCTCATTAACATTCTTGGAAGAACACGTATATCAGTTTGGGTAGGTGCAATGCAATACTAATAATAACATGATTGGATTCCCAAATTTTTGGGAAAATGAAGTAAGCCGTTCTTAATTTAATCAGTAAAATAATCTGACACATAATCTTAAAGCGTGTACAAAACTTATTTGTAATCGGCGTTGTAGTTTCGTAAAATTTTGTTGTACGTTTTATTTTTTACAATACCTATATATGCACAGGGTTAAAAACAAGGCTGGATTAATAGACCACAGGTACATTTTTGGTTGGTAACAACCTACCTCCATGGCAACAACCAATAAATTTTGGTGAGCGTTTTACTATTTATTACTCCTACTTGATATTCCTAAAGCAAGTCTAAAATTTCACAACAATCTGTCGTTCCCTTCCAGACATCACTTATGTATTAAATCGCCAAAAGACTACAGACAGATGAAAATGGGACACCTACATTTTTATACTCTAGTAGGAGTTATGAAACGTTGAGAAAATATTAAATTAGCTATTCGTCAAAGAGACCCTGCTGCAATACTTCCGGAGCGTTAGTTGAAAAAAGTAACAGAGGAAAAAACTATCTTAAAAAAAAAAAATGGAGAAAGATTCCGAAGGTAGTGAGAGTTTTATAGAAATACCCGTACAATACAAAATAAGAAGAACGAAAACGCTAAAATTAACTTTAAGAAGAAGGAAAGAAAACATTTTGACAAAATATGTTAATACAAGAAACCAAAACAATAATTTCGTCACAAAACAGTGACTTTGTATTTAAATAGCTGCGATTCATTTAGTAGTGCCAGTTTATTAAAAATATTATACAAAAATAAATAATTCATAAATGACCACATTAGATAAAAGCATGACAGATTTCGTAGAAGTGTTAAAAATTGTTGAACACATATCTATTTCTGAAAAAGTCGGTATATTTTGCTAGAACTTTCATATTTTGTGTACATGTACATTTTTGTGCTATTTTTATTGTCATATTTCTATTTAAAGTTTTGTCTTAGTTTTTAACAGTGATATGAATAAACAGCACTAATTTTAACAATGCAATTTTTATCGTATTAATTTCTTTAAAAAAATCACTTGCATAAAACCTAGTTTGAAACTTTCAACAAGCGAATGTAATTTATAACAGAATTTTGAATTTACTTTCTCGAACATTACGTGATAAACAGCAGAAAAGTTTCATTTTAAAGAATTATTTTGACAGATTATATGCGGAACAAATATAGAAATCTTCCCGTTCAACGGAAGCAGTATTTGATTTTTGAAACAGACACCTAGTCGAAATTTTTAATTGATTTTAATTTTTTGAAAAGTTTTAAATAACTCTCTTTTTTTGTCAAAACCGTGAAATCCAATTAGATTTCTTAAATTAAAAAATACATAAAAACGATAGTGGTGTGTTCCCCCGAAAGGGCAGTGAAGCGGAACGACAATTTAAGCATTTTAATCGTCGAACACGGATCACGGCCCACCCTAACCGACAGGTGAAGCAGGCAAGGGATGGAAGAAATAGGAGGCAATGCCTGCAGCAGTGCAGGCGGCCCGTGCCAGGCACGGATTATCGACAATCTCCGAGGAACAATTCATAACCCTCGGTTGATCTCTACAAATTTACTTTACTACGCTGATTTACCACATGCAAATTTGTCAACTTCTACCCCAGTCACGCAGACAAAAACGATCGACGAAATAATCTCATCAACGTTGGGTACTTACGAAATCCACTGGTAAATCCCCGATACGGTTAACTCTCCCTTTTCACTCAAAGCGTGCTCGATCAGTTCCGTGTAGGTGAACGGGGGCTTCTTTGGACCTGCATATCGGTACGATTGGGCTTTGCCGTTGATTCCGTCTCTGAGAGAGGCAGTTTTGTTAGCAACTAGCCGTGAAAGCTGGACAGAAAATAATACACTGTATATACAACGAATAATAAACTGTGGTCAGTTCTCACGAGTAGATATACTTTTCCTACGACTCTTACTGCAGCAACAGTAGAATGTAACCCCGAAGATCAACAAAGTTCGAAACGAAGTAATGGTGCTTTTTATCAAAAAAATCAACTTTGTTCAAATTCAGTTTTAACCTTGATTTTTCGTGTTAACACTCACAGAGTAATCTGAAGAGTCGTAATAAAACGAATATTCTGCCATTGTGAAAAAAAAACATGTTTGACAGTTTTTTATAAATCACTATACACGCAGTGCCTACCGAAAGTTTGAACAAAATGAATATTCTTTTCCCCAATTAATTGTTTTATAATCACACCTAGAATAATAACAAATAGCTTTCGTCAGTTGACCACCTATCATCTTATTCCACAAAATAATAAAATAAAATTTTGATAGTAAAATGTAGTTTCAATTTTTATAAGTAATAAATATACTATCAGTATTGTGAAAATTTAGTTACTGCATAATTTTTTGACTAATTCGTTCAATACACATAAATTAATTTTTTTGTAAATATATCGACATGTCAAAACTTCTTTTAACATTAGAAAGCAAAATAAAAAATGTATCAATTCAGGGTACACCTCGAATTACTGCAACTAAAATTAATATGACATACGTAATTTTTAACTTTTCTGACGAAAAAGTTAATTAACATTAGTTTCTAGTATATGTACCTTATACAGCTAATGGAAATCAAAGGGAATATAAAGAAATGAACACAAAATCGTTCTAAATTTAATATAAAAAAAAAATGATACGTAAGGAAAGTCCTGTATACAGTGTGAACAATAAGTAGTTTGACTTTATTTATACATAACTTCAAATCGAATAAACATATTGATTTAAATGAATTTTCAAAAAGCGTTTGATTGAACTGATTGTTGTATACTTTTCAAAAAACTCGGAGTTTACGGATACACTCAACGAAAAATACAGTACCGTCTGTAAGTATTTATGCACCACTGTTTATTGAATTAAAAAAAAATTGACAATCTAATTGACAGTAGCGGGGCATATCTTCATTTTTCTGGCGACCTGGTCTATTCGTAACGCGTAATTTGTGCTTATTAATTAGTTAAGAAAATACAATTAATTAGTAACATTATCATCATATGAAAATAGAAGCCAAAGTGAACTAATCAAAGCTTAATTCAAAGAGAAAAATATATTACACTAATTCTACCTCGAATTAAAAAAGTCATATTCGAAAATTTACAAAAACTAAAAATTTGGCTTTATTTTAAAAATTGGAATATTAAAGATAACATACAATTAGTAATGTGTAATTATTTCATTGGGAGTAGGTTATTTTTAGATATTGAATAATCTTATACTTTTACAAGAAAGTTAACAGCGTCAACATTTTATTAATGGGAAGTTTCAACTGGATTAACGAGAAGTTCAATTCCAGTGTGTGGCAACTATCGCATTGTATTTATATAATGTTTCAACTATACGGTGAGTGATAATAATTGGAGTTAATTTTTTCAACTTTTTTAAAATGCTTTTTAAGGTGCTTGGAGGTTTTCGAATTTCAAAAAATTCAATCACGTTTTACAAGTCATACTGACCAGAAAAAAAACCGTTTGTCTTATAGATTAAACAAGTGTTAATATTTAAAAAACCCCTCACAAATATACTACACTCACTTGACATATACCTTGTAAAACTTTTATGACTTAAGCGTCTTGAGCCCAACCACCCTTATAAGTCAAACTGGCTATTGTAAGCTTTATGGACCCGAACCGCAAGGATTATTACTGTCCGTTACTGCCATAATGGAACTGTAAAGTTTTACTACGTATATGTGAATTAAGTTAAGTTATACAATAGCTAGTTTGACTTCTAAGGGTGCTTTGGCTTAAGTCGCTTACGTCATAAAAGTTTTAGAAAGTGTATGTCAAGTGAGTTTAGTATAACCCTTAAAAGATCTAAAATTGGTTAATGTTCGTTGCGACGGTGGCTCGAATCGAGCTGATTCTTACACCAAATGCAGGGAAGATGCCTCTAGTTTCGGCCAACTCAACCTTATCTTCTATCTGCCAAAACTATATCATCAACTTGCGATGATTTCTAGTATGACGGCAATTTTTGGACCTCTAGAACGAGATGCGTCTTCAACGAATTTTCTCCCGAGCTTAATTAATTAACTCAAAGACGAATTTCTTAATGAGAACAATATGAATCGCCCAATGTAGAAAAATTGTTTCATGCATTTTTTTCCCAGTTTTCCCTCCCAAAAAGAAGAAATGAATCACATTTGAACTGCAATTTTCTCCGTTCTTAAAAATCACTCGACAGAATGACTTGATATTATAGAAACGTCATCTATGGGAAGCCTACTTGAAGTTTATATATACAGTGTGCGAACCAATAATTCATCAAACCACTTTCATTCCCGATTAAACCAACTTTCAAAACAACAAAACGGGTATTGAAATATGTTCATCCGTTTGGGGGCTACGATGTGACAGACAGGCAAAGGGGTCAAAATTATAACACCTCTCTTTTTGCATCAGGGATTAACAATAGATTATTAAATGTCAAAGAATTCTATTTTAGAAAAGGAAGTAATTTGGGAGACGGTGAGTAGCGATATTCGTACATTTTCCCCTAGAATCAGCTAATCATTCTTGTGATGATGTTTGTCAGATTGTAAAAAAACTTTAGAATCATTTAGGTAAAGTGAAAGTGTTGTTGAAAGAAGAGCCGGTATTTTTCACCGATGAAGTGTGGTTTCATCTTGATGGTTATCTAAACTGTCAAAATATGAGGTGCTGCTCTACAGAAAATCCACATGTATTTGTTGACACGCTTCTTCAACCAGTTAAACTTGGTCTTTGGGTGATTATTTCAAGAAAACATTTTTTTTCCATGAAAACAAATGCATACTATGTTAAAGAAATTCTTTCACTATTTATGGAGCAATTAGATAAGGAAGAGCTACAACATAGACTCTTCCAAGAGACAATGCTACTGGTCAGCCAATCAGACCTTAAAATTTTTAAACGAATTTTACAATAACAAAGTAATGCAGAAATTTATTGCCACCCAGGGATCCAAATTTAACAAGATTAGACTATTTCCTTTTTTTAATATACATATATATTTATATAAAAAATTGACTACAAAACTTGCAGGCTCGTCCGGGATTCTGAAAATAAAAAAAGACGCATTCGTTGATGTCTGGAAGACGATTTTCAACATCTTTTGTAAATAAAAGTTTCGTTTATTATTAATTTCGTTTCATTTTTTTTACGTTCCAAAAATAGTTTATACCTTTAAACTTTATTACTAGCAACTTGATATTTAATAAATAATTACTTATTCTAATCTAAGACAAGCGGTTTTTCGTACGTGGCCAATTCCGACATTTTTTTTATATCTCTCAATGGTATTGTTCAAACACCACAGTTGAAAATTATTTTGTGTTAGTTATATGGAATTTTATTCAGTTTATATACTTATTAGACAGTACTGTTGAGAATAAATAATACTCTAATTATTAAAGTGATTTTAGTGTTGCATCTGACGAGCTTTTTACTGTCGGAAAAATTAGTGATGATAAAAATACATTATTTTCCAAGTTCATCATATTATAAAAAAAAAAATGTAACAATACTCGTTTTTCTTTTTGAAACTATATATTTTTAGGGAAACGACTTATTTTATTATTCCATACTTTCGGCGAACACTGCATTAATTTTTTTTTATATGTATTACTATTGCATACCTCACTCGACAATATCTCACTAGAACTAGTGCTTCGAATGATGACTTCTGGACTACCTGTTATAGCAGAATGGTAATTCAAAGCTTCTGTCGACGCATCTAAAAAATTGATTCGTAACGTTATTTTAAAACTGTTTAAGAATATTTAACCTTGACTTTAATTTGGACGACATTTGAAAGTTCTATAATTTCTTACATCTAGAGTTATAAATCTGAAATGTACTACACTCTACATGAGTCTGTTTGACAACGTTATTTTTTATGAAAATTAGGTTTCAGGGATAAATTTATAAAGTTTCGAACAGCAACTTTCCAAACCGCAATTTTGTCTATCATTACAAATTTTAGATTGTAAAACAGTTACATTAAAGAATATGTAGGCCTACAGTTATTTAAACAGAATTGCTTTGCCCAGTTTCTTAAATAAATTATAAAATTTCATTCTACGAATTTCTTTTTTGCTGTTAAAAGCCCTATAAATTAAAATAAAACAGGTTGGATTTTCATGTTTCATGCAGTTTTTTTTAAAGAAAATTTTGTGATGACGTCATCAACTTCTTAGCAGAGACAAATCGATTATTTTGGACGACAGTTAGTACTAATAATAACAGTATTATGTTTTCAGAATAATGACTTGCTTCGTTTATTAATTTTTTGACACACATCAGGTATTGATAATACTAAAAATAGGAGCATATAAAAAAAACTGCATGTGCAGTGTATGCTATTTTCAAGATTTCAAATAACACTAGCTACAAAATTTTGGGATGACGTTATTAATGTTAGGAAAGTAGGTTTGATAAGTTTTAATTAACGAATTACCATGTCCACGATGACCTTAAAGTGTGTACAAAATTTCAGAACAATCTACTATGTAGTTTCTAAGATAAATTGTAAAATTTTGTGCTAGAGTTCTAATTATTTTTCCAAAAAAATATAAGCATATTATTTTGCCCTTCTTAGATAGGATTTATTTACTTTAAGATGACGTCATCACATTCTTGTTGGGGATTAACGGATAAATTTTAGTTGTTAGTTTCTAAGATTACTTGTTTAATATAAACCTCAACAGACGACAGACAAACGGAAACGGTGAATCCGCGATATTATATTCTATTATAAATAGGAACTGTGAAACGTCGGAAAGCTTTAATTCTTCTATTACAATATTTCACCAACTTACGGTCGAGATAAAAAATTTGAAAACATTTTTGTAAATTTATTTACTATGTACTTGCCTAAATGCTATTAGAGAACCTATTGTGTGAAAGTTACTTCTTTGCGTTTCACAAGTTTCACTATATGACAATGTAGACTTCCCGGTTCGGTCTATCTTGTGTATTAATTACCTTAAAAATATCCCCTCTATCTCTGTAACAGGCACCAAACTATTTCAAAAGAAAATGATAAGGAATATACTAAATTATCCCTCTAAAAGGCTTCGTAAAAATAATTTTTTTATGAATAAAAATGACGTCTCTACAAACTATTCCAAGTTTTCACAAAATTTTGCAAAATAAAATCATTAATTAACTCTTTAGGAGGTGGACACAATATCGTTCGGAAGTAGAATTCATAAAATACTGATTAGACAGTAATTCATTGTTAAAAAAAAAAACAAATACTTTAATCAATAAATAAATAACAAAAATAAATAAATACAAAATATTTTTTTTTTGGTAAATGAATATTTGTTTGAATTTCTGTAGCAGATTTTTGGCGCTTATTATTATGATTGTTATTATTTAAGTCCCACCATTGACTCAGAAATGATCGGTTTTTTTGTGAAATACCAATTGTAATAGATTAGTGAATTCAGAAAAAAAGCTCTATTCAAAAATGCATTAATTATATGGTAATGCCATTTAAAAAAAATCAAGTTGGTCTTGCATCTCGTAAACAAATTAAGCAAAAAATAATTTTTTTGACGAATAATTAGACCTAATTTCAAGTGATTTGTACAGTGGTTCGCAGGATATTTAACTGTTTCCATACATTCTAGCGACCCTGTATAATCTTTTTGCAATATTAGGTATTATAAATTTATTAGGAAAAACAAAAAAAAAAACAATAAACAACAAAAATAGTTTCAATGTGTTATTAAAACGTTGTTCAAGTCAGAAAATGTTCGAAATCGTTCTTTCAGTAAGTTATGTATGCATTGTTTAAAAAAAAAACTACGTTATAATAATGTTATAAATATCACCAATATCATATTGAACACCAGAAATGTTGACAATATAAAATAGCCAAGAAACATATAATTAAAAAAAAAACAATGCGAAAATTCGTTTCTTTTATTTATCGCAAAATTAGAAAAAAATCTTAACATCGTTCCGTCCGAAAAAAATGCGTAAATAAAGATAAAAAAAAAAAAAACACTGACACACATTCACTTGATAAAAACTAAAATGTGGCATAAAACACTTCAAAATTAAAAATATGACTGTAGCATTTCTAAGCGATCCCCGGCAAAACAGGTGAAAATTATAATAATAAATAAACATTTCAGTTCAGTTTAGGTTTCACCTAAACGCCAAACTTGCTAGTTAATAAGCAAGAAAATGTTCCAAAAAAGAAAAGACTCACCGGGAACAGGAGGCAGTTCGTGAATTTTGTAATTTAGGAGCCAGGAAAGATTCCCGTCGGTGCAATCTGATTCGATGCCACTGTCCGACCCTCGGGGACTAGGATTCAGAAAATCACGCGAATCGTTGAACGAACAGGTATTTTGTAGTGCTTTAATTTCTTCGGTCTGTATGTTGTGCATTTCGGCAACAATATTAGGGATCTTATTCGATGTATCCCAACATCCATTTACAAGTAAAACCTGAAAGGAAAAGACGGGCGTTGAAACCATGAGGCTCAATGGTCTAGGGGTATGATTCTCGCTTTGGGTGCGAGAGGTCCCGGGTTCAAATCCCGGTTGAGCCCATTTTTTGCACATCTTTTTAAATATTTTTTATTTATATAAAAAATGAAGTGATAAAAGTCATACCTCATTGAAAGCCTTGTTCCAGGTTTTGTCTTCACTTTTAATCGCGATTTGAGGCAAAGCGTAACCGTGAATAATTTTTTGACATTTTGAAGGGGGCTCTTCTAGTGTTTTTATTTCTCTAAGGGGAGCTTTGCACTGACCAACACTGCGTATGATTAGGTTGTTACTGCTCATTTTGGGTTTTATTCTAATAATAATTTAATTGTAGGTAGGTAGATCACTTTTTGGGTGTAAAAATTCAGTGACACACGCACACTAGAATTGACTGTATTTTGATTTCCTTTTTCACAAAATGTGTGTAACATATTTGCGAAAACTGGGAATATTATAAGCCATTATAAAAAAAATTAAATAGTGACATTCGTAACGTCAATAATTCCAAAAATAAATCTTCGGTACCAAAACAATTTAATTCCACGGTGCTATTAATATAAACAACAAAAGATGATAACAACACAAGAATGTAGCACCACTGAATTATATCTTTCCAAGGAACTGATTAATAAAACAACCATTTACCAACCTGAGCAAAGTTAATGAACCGCACACAACTGTTAGATTTAGTTTTAAAAATAATTACAATAACTTTTTATTTATAGTAATGCTTTATAGGAAAAATCACTTCATACTAATACTGCATTTGCTTGTGGCGCCAATGCAGCCCCTAATATTTGGGGCGCATGCGCAGTTTATTCCACAAATTATTTATATGAAAAATAAATTTATTTAGTTTGTAACTAAAACGTTAATAATGTGTAAATTAACCATAATTCAATTTCAAAATTCGCAAAATTATTAATAGGAAGAAAACTTCAACGATTTTCAGATTGTCCATGAGATGGCGACACCACCTGATAACAAAAGTTTTTGCTTCTGATTGGTCGCATGACATGTCTAAAATGGTGGTGAAATGTCATTTTTGATTAAAGCATTACCTGTCAAATTAATTAATGTGATTTAAAAATAAAGTGCTTTGTAATAAGTAAGTAGTGTTACACATAATCGTTGATAATTTTATGCAAGTAACGAATTTTTACAATATGTCACTTGTCGTTGCACATTTTTGCCAAATTTCGAATGAAGGTTATTTTGGTGTGCAGTTGTCATGATTTTATCATCGTGACCATTTTTTTCTTTTGTAAATAATTCTTTGAGACAACCATCGCCCTATATAATTATAGACGTTTTGGATTTTGTCACAATTTTATAATGGACGTTAACAACGGTCCTTCAGAAGGCTCTGGAAACGGGACCATGGATATAGAACAGTCTTTGTTGCAACAATTCAGTTGTATGGGTACAACTGATAAGGAAGAGTTGGTGCAACAACTACAAAAATTATTAGGGAGTAGTTTAAATTATTCTACAGCCGCTTTTTTTCTGGATATGAATAACTGGTAAGAGCTAAATCATAATTCTGCACATTGTGCTTAAACTTTGTAAAAGGAATCTCCAAGCTGCCATTTGTTCCTACTTGGATATTGAAAATTCGACGAAACTTCCGTCAATGACCCTTGTACAGGACCCTGTAGCTAGTGAATCCGAAAGTATAGAACCCAATGTCAGGTACTAAAAAAATACTGTGTGTATTCATTTGTAATGTTATATTGTGGCAGCTTTCAAAAAGTATGGCACATCATCAACAATGGCCCAGATCAATGGCCCACAGGTTGTTATGCTCAATGTTCAGATGGCAATAGTTTTAATGGAGGTAGAGTAGTCCTTCCTCCTCTTAAACCATTCGAGGATACTCATTTAACCGTCCATATGGTTAGTCCTCCGACTCCGGGCGTTTATCAAAGTAAATGGAGACTGTGTACAGAAAAAGGGGCATATTTTGGGGGTACATCTACCTGCAAAATGAAGTTTTCAATAAAATAAATTTTGTTCATGTTGCAGATCCTATGTGGGTTATTGTTACAGTTGTAGAGGAAGGAACAATGGCTCTTACACAACAGTTATCTAGTTTTAGTGAACTGGGTGCATCTCCCCAACCAGAGGTGGCTCATAATCCATTCATTCCACAAAGATCTCATTTAGAACATACTCAGGTATTTTTGTAAATTTTCTTAATGAATATGCACGTTTATAGTTGCAGGATGCAGCGCCTCAGGGTGGAAGGGACTATAACATGTGGTAGTGGAAAGTGATGTAAAAGTTAGTGCCAAGGAACATAACACCATTGTGAGTGTTAAAGCGTTATTTATGGTACAAATCTTTGATTAGATAAATAAAACATTGAATTTATTTACTTAAGCAGAGCAATCGAAGTTATTTTCTCAATTTTAATGGTCAAGACTATTTGTGAAATTTAGATATATTTTTTCATTACTGTTGGTTAATGGTGTTACAACTTATTTTCAGCCATTGATAATTAATATTTATGTATGAAATTAAAAATTTGGGAGATTGCTGCTTTTCTGAGTCTTGATTGTATTGCAACGACAATTTTTAAGTTTTTTTTTGTGCGTGAGGGGAAAGAATTAATATTGAATTTTTAAAATTCTCTTTTAAATTGTTGTTCCAATCCTGTTATTTGTTCAGTTGGTTGCTCATAATTCTTAATTTCATAATGAGAATAACTAGAAGTGTTTGAAAATAAGGTTCTAGTTAGTTAGCTATTTGTGGGCTAACTAGCCAAGTCTAATTAGAATAATGATATTCATATATAATATTTTTTTATCTAGATTTTGTAAAAAATGTAAACAATTTTAGTTATCTAAGTACTGAGATGTACAGACTTTGCCTTTGCATTTACGTTATATTTTATATGTGACCAGAGACGACGATTTTATTATAAATCTTTAAACGAAATCTTGTTTCTTTATGTAATATATAAAAGAAGTAGATTTGTACTTATGATCAATTTTTAATTAAAATTAAAACTCGTGAACATATTCGAAATAAAGTGGGTTGGATTTTTTCGTTTTGCCACCGAGATGTACATGGTTTTAATTAAATATATATGACGCTTTAAGCATCCAGTAATATTTCTAATAATTCAAGCAACTGTAGCAGTGTACTTTTGGTTTTTGCTGTTATGTAAGTTTTTTTTAACAAATTTTTGCGCGGCAGATAAGTTCATGCGGCATTATCGTAACTTTAAATATCGTATTCTTCTATCTAAAAATAAAAATTTAGTTAGTCGCCATTTCCGCCAGTAAACTTTGAATTTGTAGAGCATTGTTTTATACTGACATTCAGTTAAATGTCGTGGTTTAGCGGAAAATATTTTTTTGTCCGTACTGCTTTTAGTCCCCCTCACAAGCATAATATTGACAACTGTAATGATTAAATTGTTACAAGGGATGTTTCATTTTTTTTCTACTGATTGAGGATGTGTGGTATTTTTCGTTTGTTATAAATGGTTTACAGCGTAAAAGTTCTGGTAAAAATATTCATTCCACTGAATGAAATTTAATGTTGATATTACAATGAAGAAACATTTTCAGTTTAGAGGCAACACTGGTGTTGTTACCATTTCTACGCAAGAATTGAAAGTGATTAATTACATAATCTAATTAATTCATAAAAATAGTGTTATTTCCCGCGCTGCTTTAAAAAATTCAAAATTTAATTTATTGTTGCAGTTTTAATTTTTAATCACATTTATTAGCTCTTGGCTATTTTTGGAGTTTCGTTTTTTCAAAAATATCATTTTTTTTTATATAATTCCATTAAGTTCTTGTAATATGCTGTAACTAACAATCACGAAGTGTTTCTTCATTTTTATGAAGTAGTTACTAAAAATCAATGCGCAATTTGTTGTTATTTCCTGTTTCATAATTCAGTAATTTCAAACTTTTTTGGTCAAATGCAGTGACATCGAAATTCCGTATACGGTATATGAGGGATAAATATATGTAAATATATTTAGAGTTCCTCAGATTTTGTGTGTTTCTTTATATCATACCCTTGCCGGTATTTCCCAAGTCTTACGTGTTTTTGTTCTCCGCAATTTTTCAAGTGTAAATAAAACTTTAATACTTTACAAGTAGTACCTAACAGAATAAGAACACGATAAAATATCTTAATAATCCAAATAAATTTATGAATGAGTTTCAGCAGTTCTAGTTTTTAATAATTTGTCCTACGTATATTTTTTGTTTTTGTTTGTGTTTACTTTTTTTTAAGTGTATACATTGTGCCTTTGTTTTATAGTTAGTTATGTATGTAAAGAAAAAATATGAAATAAATAATTTATTATAAAAAGTATTTTTATTACTCTTGGATATGATCCGAATTAAATGACGCATGATAAAAATAAACTAATAAAATAATGGAGGATGATGGAACGATTCCTGACGTCTGCTCCGCCATGAAGTACAATCATTTAAGAAGTGAGATTATCTCGAAACTCAACATAGTGTCTTTACCATTCATGGTGGTGCCTGGGTAATTCGATATTTTTCTGTTTGCTAATCATCAATAAAAGAGGAGAAATAAGGACTTACATATAATATTAAAGTGTAAAGAAAGAAAACAGTATAGTTCTGTATATCTTACACGTAAGTATTTGCAGATCTATGTATTACACGTAAGTATTTGGAGAAATATTTAATAAATATCCCAATAATCGTGTAGAAGGTAATAAAATATATACATTAACTTAATCCTATAAAACCGATTGTTGTGGATAGCGAATTAGTTCATTAAGTTCCAAAGTCATGATTTTATACGTCATCCAAAGATATATTTTTTAAATCACACATAAACTATACTGTGCATAAACTCTCAATAGAAAACAAATAAAAGCCACTCATTATGACTTTAGGTGGCTGAAGCTTGAATCACAAACTCGCAAAGTAAACAATTGTGTTATAATCACATATTAATTTCTTCTGCAAATGTTTTGTTCCACAAAACAAAAACTAAATCAGTGTAGTCGATTACATTGCGGTGCCCTTGCCATTTCCGTTCAGATGACGTTTCCTCTACGATATAGGCAACCAAATAAATACAAATTCGGAACAAATTTCAAAACGAGATCATCCCACGAGGCAAGAATTTGCACATTTAGGAGCATGTGTCAGTTAGGAAGTGACGTGCGCTGGTTGCCTTTAGGACCCGTCAATGTCATTTTCGTAATCAAAAGATGTTTTTTTTTGGAGTCTTGTCACTGGAATGAAGAGAGGGTGGGTGGGTGGGGCTATTGCTTGCTTATAAAAGATCCTGTATGAAAAAGTAAACCTTAGCCCCGCCCGCCCATCCGTTCTCTGATTTTTTTCTTCAGAAATAAGAAATAAATGTTATAACAAGTAAGCAGTATAACAAAAAAAAAAAAAAAATACGATTAACGCTTTTTTTAACAGCCTACGTTCTATTACCTACATAGTTCCCATTCTCAATTTACAAAAGAAGTTATAATTTACCTCGCCTACTCACCCTGCCTCCATTTCAGTGATTCATTTTATCTAGTCCGAATGAAAGGTGGATCTCAATTGAAGAGAGATAAATGCGTTAGAATGAGAACAGCGTGTGTGGGCGGGGTTAGCATCTGCTAAGATAGGATTGATTTTGGTAAATGACATACCCTCTAAGAAAATAAAGGGTGGGTGGGAGGTGCTAGTACTTGCTAAGATAAGATTGATTTTGGTAAATGACTGAGCAATATCAGGAGTGATCACTGGAATGAAGAGGGGGTTGGTGGGAGGGGCTATTGCTTGCTTATAAAAGAATCTGTAGGAAAAAGTTAAACTTAGTCCCGCCCACCCACCCGTTCTCTAATTTTTTTATGTTATAGCAAATAAGTAAGTAGTATAACAAAAAAATTACGATTAATGCATTTTTAACAGTCTACGTTCTATTAGTTCCCATTCTCACTTTAGAAAAGAAAATATAATTCACCCCGCCTCCATTTCAGTGATATATTTTGTCTAGTCCGAATGAAAGGTGGACCTCAATTGAAGAGAGCTGAAATCGTTACAATGAGAACAGTGTGTGTGGGCGGGGCTAGTACTAGCTAAGATAAAACTGATTGTGGCAAACAACATACTCTCCAAGGAAACAGAGGGCGGGTGGCCGGGGCTAGTACATACTTGTTAAGGTAAGATTGATTTTGGTAAATGACATATCTTCTAAGAAAAAAAAAAGGGTGGGCGGGCGGGGCTAAAACTTCCGAAGCTAGGACTGAACAATATTAAGAGTAGTCATTGGAACGAAGAAGGGGAGGGTGGGCGGGGCTACTGCTTGCTCATAAAACTAGAAAAAAGATAAATTTAGCCCCTCCCAAAATGGAGTGAGGCGTTCCTAATTTAATGAATAAAATAAATTGACTCATTCATTAATTTTTTGGAGCCACCTGTTTATGAATATGAACGCAATGATAAATCACAAATAAAAACTCATCACATTTTGCACATTTTGGGTAGAATTTATTTTGAGATGACATAATCAGTTTTTTTTTGGGGGGAATAAAGAAATATATTTTGATTAACAATTTACCATGCTTACAATAACTTTAAAACATCTGCAAGATTTCAAAGTATTCATCAATTTTGTAATTCTTGATTTAGTCAATAAAATAAATTGACTTTGTCATTCATTTTTTGAGACACCTGTACAAGCAAATCTAAAAAATATTAATGCAGCGATAAATCACAAGTGTAGACTTATCATATTTTGGACATTTATTCAGCAATATTTTGAGGTCACATCATCATTTTTTTTAGGGGGGATGAGCATATACATTTTGACTAAAAATTTACCATGCTTATGATAACTTTAAGCATTCGATTTTGTAGTTCCTAATTAAATTAAAACAATAAACGCACGCATTCATTAATTTTTTTGAGTCACCCTGTATATGCAAATCCAAATAATATGAATAGCATGATAAATTAAGAGACTTATCATATTTTGTACAATTTAGATAAAATTTATTCACAAAATTTTGAGCTGACGTCATCAATTTTTTGGAGGAGATACGTAAACATACTTTGATTAAAAATTTGTCATGCTTATCATAACTTTAAAACATTTTCAAAATTTCAAAGCGTTCGGTTTTGCAGATTCAAAATTAAATTGCAAAATGTTGTTTTATAGTTGTGATTTCTTTTTCCAAAAATCTGGACGTTTCGGGTAAAAACTCAATACGGGGTCATTAACTGTATGTGTAGGACTATGTTATTTTATACAATTTAAAACCCATTTACTATATACAATTTTGAAGTGACGTCATCACATTATTGATAGAGATGATTAGACAAATTTTGATTAGCGTTTTACCATCTACATGGTATTCTAAACATACAAAAATTGACAACAATCGGCCCAGTACTTTCGTACTTTCGGAGATTATCTGTCTAATAAAAATCGGGACGGCAAACAGACTGACAGACGGTCAAACAGACGGAAACGGGAGACTTATTTCTTCGCACTTTAGGGGTCATTAGAGGTCGAAAAATGTAAAAGTAGAGATTCGGCTGACGGACTTGATTACAATACTTCTTTCGCTTACGCTGGGGAAAAAGGAATTGACCAGTGAGTCAATCTCGTGTTAAGAGGACCCTACGTTTGACTCGTGGGATTTTCAGTATACATATGTATTTTCAGAACGCATTATCTCCTTATCAACAGACCTATGATTATGAAAATTTAAATATCAGTTTATTGTCATCTTCTTTTTAGCATTTTGGTGAAATTTTTCATGACGTATTATTAAAAGTCAATATTCCTGTTATTTATGGAAATTTTAGAGCACTTTAGGTTACAGAACTTTGTACCTTACCCGGGAAACGTTGTCGATTTCTTTGTAGGAAATGAGACAGACTAAAAAGAAGCTCGTGTCGAAGAAGCTGCGTTTGCTGTATCTCATTTTCAACAAAAGAAATCGGCAATGTTTTCCACGTAAAGTGTAAGCTTTTGTAAACTGAAAACAGCGAAAACCGCGTTTAGAAATTTCCATAAATAATTGAGTCATTGAATTTTCAAAATATATGATGAAAAATTTCACCAAAACTTTAAAAAGAATGATGATGGTAAACTGATTAAAAAAACTTTGTTTACTCATCTTCACCAACCATGTGAGACGTCATCTCAAAATTGTACAATGGGTTTTAAATTTCACAAAATAACATATAAGGAATTCACGTTCGGTAGATGTAACTAGATTTGGTAACTTTTTTTTTTAAGCTGTGTAACTGCGGACATAATTGTTCTAGTGTATAATGTATTACTGGAATGTCAGAAAGTAGGTATCAAAAATGTGACATGTAAGTAAGTAAAGGTCAAATATCGAAAATGTGATGGTTTTGTGGTAATCTGGTGAATCTATTTTTGAACCAAGGAGAAAATCGCATCCCTCTAAAATCCAAAAGAGCAACCCGCATGTAAAATTTTGAATCTTTTCCCTTCACTAGTTTTTTTAGGAGGACAAGCTTTGATGTCATCATCATGGATCCACAATTTCACCATGGATCCGTTCTGGTATATCCATGTCTCATCCAAGAAAATGAAAAGTAAATCTTCACCACAATCACGCAATTGGAGATAGGTACCGCCTTAGAAATTTGATTCTGGCAGCTATAACGTGTTTAAAATGTGAAAAACTTCGCCTTCGGAAACCTAAATTTATATGTGTATTACGTACAATTATTTTCAAAGCCGAGTGTTTTACCTCTTACAAAACAATAACGATTATATAAAACTTAAAAACCAATTGTAGAAAGGAACCAACAAAGCATGTAGGTATATAAATCTGCGCAGTCGTCTTTCTGATTCTGATTATAATATTAACGGCACAAGCGCCGCTGTATCTGTATTATTTTAAAATTCGAAAAACACTCGACAACACTAGCGAACTTTACGGAGAATATTTCTGCCACCAGTTTAACTGTTTCCGTTTTACCCAATTTTTTGAAAACCACGAAATATTTCTTGTTTCTTTTCCTTTAAAATGGGCTTTCTCGTGATTACTTTTATGGAAATTGTTTCCATGCTGTATTTAAGGATTTTCTTGAAACGAAGCGCGTTGAAATTAGGAAAACCTCGGTTTTTTTCCACACAATTCAGATTTGACATTTGAATTAGAAAATTAGACAGTTGATGCCAATCTTAAATTTCTAGTGATCTTAAGATTGCAACTTAACCACAGAAAAGTTTCTGTCAGTTACTTCTACCGAACGTGAATGCTTATTACTCCTACACTTATAAATTTATGAATCCGTGTTAAGTTTGAGACTTTGAAACTGCAAAGCCGAATGCTCTAAAATCCTGCACATGTTTTAAAGTTATCGGATGCATGGTAAATTTTTAATCAAAATATATCTATTTGTGTATCCAAAAAAAAAACAAAATATATAATAATAATAATAATAACGTCATGTCAGAATTTTACTTGTGATTTATTACTGCATTAATATTTTTTAGAATTGCTTATATATTGCAAAAATGTTGATGCGTCGTCACAAAATTTTGTAATAGGATCATTCGGTTGAAACATGGTTGTTTAACTTTATTTTAGCAACTTCGTAGGAGGTTCTGTCTAAATAATTTTAGGCCATTTTTTATTTCTAAAATACAGTTGAATAACTCGTTCGAAATCAGCAATGTATTCACTTTTATATTTTTATATGCACTTTGTTGATCACGTTGAAAACGATCAAAGTGAATTTTCACTCAAGTATGAATTTATAGGTATACAGAGTGCATCTTTTTTAAAAGTGGCCATAGGGATTCACATGTTGAATTGTAGACTTCATGTTACTTTTGTTAGGGTGAAAACCCAGAGATGGTTTTTGCGATTCCGATTTTAACTTTAGTTCTCATTACTTCTCATTACCACGCTTTGCAGTAAATTGTTAATTTGTGCTTTAAAAAGTAAAAATTATTTTAGTTAAAAAGTTTACGTATATCGTAGGTAATCATTAAACAAACATTTTCATTGCAGTTTTAAGAAAAAACAAAAAACAGAATGATGGAATTTAAACAGAACTGAAGAATATAAAAGATAATTTCACTGAAATTGCGATGTACACAATCGAGACAACATGTAAATCAGATACAAAATTTTCGAATTGTACTCTTGGCGGGTATGAGAGAATGTGGAAATTCTGCACTAAAATTTTTGGCAATTTTCATTATCAATGGGTCCTGTATCCAGTGACTATTTCCCCTTTTTCTTTAATTGTGTATTGTGGCATGTTGACGAATTTCGGTCAGTAAAAAGCAGTAATCGAACGAGTAATCAAATTTTAGAACAGTCAGGTAAATGCCTGTTTTTACATGGCTACCTACAATATTAGAATATTACCTACAAAAATACCCAAATAATGTAGGAGTATTTTTTAAAGAAATATTTTTTAATTTAAAGCATAACTTTTAATAAAATCGACAAAACGTGACCAAATTGCATCCAGTAACAATTTCAACTCTGAATATTTACTCAAACATTAATGAACATTGGAAATAAAATTGAACTCGAGAATCCCTATAGGCACTTTTAAAAAATATGCACTGTATAGTGTATATGCAGATATAAATATTTTGTTGTGTTTTATTTAATAAAGTCACATAACACATCACTATTTTATCAATGATAAAAAAATGGTGGTCAGTAACGGAACTGAAGTGCACTTTTCCCGTTCATGTTTACTATCAAATCCAAGGAAGTCCTGTTGTGGTTGTTAGACGAGAATTTGGTTGAACTGATAGAGGTGGAATACCTGTCTGGAATAACACAAAAAAAAAATATTTCTTTGAAATAAAGATAATTATAGTTTGATTAAAAAAACCACCATTTCCCTTGGAACACCGCTAAAATTTTATTGGCTTTTAAAAAAATAAAGCCATCTTATTGGTTGATGAATTATACATAAATAAATTTGAACTGATGGGGCAGTTAGTTTTGTGTTGTGAGTGTTAAACAAATATACCTGTAAGTTTCTTTTATTGACATGTCCATTATCATTGAACCATATACATATTACGTATTAATCAAAATTTTAGTGTTTCTTTACTAACCATGGCGACTGACAAGAAGAAATTACTTCTTTTGTTTGATCGTCCACAAGAACCGACATTTGTGACCAAAGGCAATAACTCAGTATTTGATGTGCCAATTAACTATCTGGTAAGGTCATCCGATCTACTTTTCCAGCTTATAATTTACATGTTCTTTATCTTTTCACTTAAAGCCTGAAAAATACAAACCTATTGGGGTACAACTTTTCAACAGATTTGGTGAAGACGCTTCTGAACGAATATCTGTTAAGGAAATTCCACCTCCAAATTTAGATGACATCCCAGAATTGCAGAGAAATGAAAACTTTTCCTTGTTTATTCCAAAACACCGAAAAATTGCCGGAAAACTAATCAGGCTCTTTTTAGGTACGTTTTTTATGAATCTTCTTTTTTGCTTTATGTAAATTATGCGTAGAGATTTTTTCTTAGATACAGATATGCTTTTATGACGCTATTATTTTTCAAATTTATTTTATTTTGAAACACATGACACTGAAAACGCGATACAACAATGCAGTTTTGAACTTTTGTTTTGAAGCTACGAAAGGATCACTTATTCTCAAATATCTACCTATATTATGAAAAAAAAAAAAAAAAAATGCAGTCATTATTTCTGAATTTGATTAATTCTTCAAAAAAAAAAAATGGACAAAAATATTATGTCATTATTTATAGTAGAATCTATGTAAAAATACCACATATATGGATAAAACGATAGGCATAAGTTCTTCAAAAATAGTGAACAAATTTAGAAAACTGAACAGTGTATTTTGTGTTTCTCTAACAACATATGACCGAAAGATTTGGTAATTCAAAAACAGTTTCGAAAATATAGCAAGTTTGGTTACGTGAACGAATTTAGTGAATTTTTAGATTTAAATACAAAAAAAGATTTGTTTCAATTCAGTACATCTAGAAATAGCACTACTTATTATTGCGCAAAATTTTATGATGCCATTCCAAATTCAATTATAAGTGCTAAATTTATTCAATTTATGATAACAATTAAAAATATTTACAGATAACGCATTTTATTCCTTCAAAGAATATTTTAATCAAGCACGGGACAGAAGATCAATATTAGTATGTTTTGTATACAGACGGGTGTATATTATGGTAAATTTTAACAGAATAAATTATTATTTATGTTCAAAAATTTTATTTAAATTTTATAAAATAGCATATTCCTGCATATATGATTTATGAAGCCATATTGATGAGTTATTACTTATTATATTACCCTATACATGCAATTTTTTGAAAAAAGATCAAAATTGTGTACCTACCAACATTCTGAAATTTGAAAGTGCACAACTGAATGCTATGAAATCTTGCAAATGTTAATCAAAATTATTCCTTCCCCAAAAAAGTTGATGACGTTAAATTTTGGGTAATAAATCTAAAATATCCACAATATTAAGAGTTTATACTTCATACACATACGATGCTTCTTTACCTGTAGTACTTGTACTTTAATAATCCACACATATATTAATTTTAGCTCGTGGGAGTCATCGTTAAAAAAATTAAAAATAAAGTTTTATCATTTTTCGAAGTTGTATTTTAGGGGAGAGGGAAGTTCTTTCAAAATAATCTTCGACCAATTTTTTTTAAAACATAAAAAACACATTGTTAAATACACATTTCAAGGAATATTAAAGCGGAACATATCAGATTCGCTGATTTACCTGTCATAAGTCCGCTTGCAGGTTGTCTTCCGAATCCGATTTTAACGACACCGCAGGAGATCTTACTGTTGACAATTTTAGCATACGTATTACAACCAGATGATAGATATAAAAGTTCTATTTATGGAGATTAAAAAAATATACAGCAGTAGAAAACACAATGAAAAACAACCACGGATTTTTGAAAGTTTGTCTTTGATCATTGCATTTTCATCTCAAATTTTTAAATTGACAGTAATCTGACAAGACGAAAATTCTATCAAAGACAAATTTTGAAATCTATGGCTGTCTTTGATCGTGTTTTTTATTGCTCTATCGGAATAACGAATGATAATCATGTACTTATCCTGTCATAGAATAGATGTAATAGAAAAATGATGAGAACAGAAGAACTGAATTCTGCTAAGAAAATTTAAGGCCAACGCCTACCTTTTCTCTGTTCAGTACAATTTCAGAATGTTAGTACAGTAAATTTCATAACAAGAAGTCTGTACTTATTGTTATGAAATTTTAATTTGATCACGACTGTGTCTATATTACACAAGGGCAGTTTTTTATCATTCTTTTTAAAATGTTGGTAACATTTTTCAGTAGGTAATATGTAAAAATCAATATCTTATGGAAATTTCGGAACGTAGTTTTCACTGTTTTTAGCTTAAAAAACTTAAAAATTAGAAAAAAAAATATGATCTATTTTTTTGTTGGAAATGAGAGACAGTAAAAGCAGATTTTTGAACATTTGCCTTTGATAAAATTTTAGTCTTATCAGAATATCGTCAATTTGAAAATGTGTGTTTAAAATGCAACAAACAAAGACAAATCTTTAAAACTGTACGGCTCTCTTTGATGGCGTTTTTATTGTTCTCTTGGTTCATGTTTGTTAAAAGATTGGTGTACCATATTTTTATTGTTATAAATGCGGAGGTTGTCGGAAAACATTATGGTATTGTTTGTAAAACTTAAATTAATTGTTAAATTACTAGATGAAATTCTTTCAATGATTTTTTCCGTCCAATGTACGCATCAGTTGTCGGAATGGTAGACAATTTTAATTACACTAACTGATTGGAAATAATTAGACGAATAATAATAATAATTCATAACTTCTTGTTATATTGTATATTAATTTAAACTTAACCCACACTGCAAGAAATTACTAATATTGTCATCATTTTTTCAGCTGCCAAAAATGTGGACGAACTTTTATCAACGGCAGTTTATGCTCGCGATCGTGTTAATGCATATCTTTTCCACTACGCCTTGTCCGTGGCTCTCCTGCACCGTTCTGACACCCAGAACTTAGATTTACCTTCCCTAATCCACGTTTTTCCCGACAAATATGTAGACAGTCAAGTCTTCGCCAGAGCTCGTGAAGAAGCCAACATCGTTCCAGAAGGGTCAAGGGTGAGCATGCTATACTAATTTAACAAAAAAATTACCATGCGCCTTTTAGACACCCATTGAAATCCCTATAGATTTCACTGCTTCCGATCTAGATGAAGAACATCGCATTGCCTACTTCCGCGAAGATATCGGACTTAATATCCACCACTGGCATTGGCATTTGATCTATCCTTTCGATGGTACTAGAGAAATTGTCGCTAAGAATAGACGAGGGGAGCTGTTTTATTATATGCACCAACAGATACAAGCACGGTATAATTTCGAACGACTTTGCAACAGTTTGAAGAGAGTGAAAAAATTGTCGAATATGCGGGAACCGATTCCTGAGGCCTATTTTCCTAAACTGGATAGTTTAGTGGCGAGTAGAACATGGCCTTCACGTCCCGTCAATCAAACTCCGAGTGACGTTAACAGAGAAATCGACCAAATTAGAGTCAACATTGACGATCTAGACCGATGGAGGGATAGGATTTTTGATGCTATTCATTCTGGAAATATCGTGGATGTATGATAGGAATACTAATTTTTAAATAACACCTAGTGGAAATTAATATTTTTTTAGGGGAACGGCCAAAAGATTCCGCTTACTGAATTTGAAGGGATCGATCTTTTGGGGAATGTTATAGAAGCGAGTATTATTACACCAAACAGGAATTTTTATGGGGACTATCACAATATGGGACATGTCATGTTAGGGTATGTTCATGATCCTGACCACAGATTTTTGGTAAGTCGTTATGGAGGAAGTGCATGATTTAAGTAACTAACAACTATATGTCTTTAGGAACCTTTTGCTGTAATGGCCGATCCTGCTACGGACTTGCGAGATCCAGTTTTCTTCCGCTGGCATGCCAACATTGATGATATGTTCCAAGAATTTAAGGCCACGCTTCCACGCTATACCGTAGCACAGGTAATATTTTTTTAGTATATTTATTTTATACATTTTTACAAATCTGTAACTTTAACAATCGATCCTTATCACTGTGTGAAAATAATTTTGAAAAAAATGTTAAACCTACATTGGGTTGCAATGTTAGTTTTATCCAAAATCTATAACGTTTTTATATTTTCAATCTAAGAGTGCCAAACATCGCAAATGGAACTAAATGAGTTATGTGATTCCCACGTATTATTGGTTGCTTATCTGTATAGATCGACACGTTCGAAGTAGGTTCTCAGGATTTAAAAATGACGTTGCTTTTGTCCTAAAACCTGCTAAAACTACAATCTCATATTATTAATTGGATGAAATATGGAACATTCATGGTAATTGCCATTACTTGATTAAAATATCGTCAGAATAAATTTCGTCATGAAAAAACTAACTATTTTTGCCTCTATTTCATACATGGTTGAAAAAAAAAGTCTAACATAGAAATAAGAATATCCATCCAGTACCGAACAGTAGTTTTCACTAGTATAAGTAGCCATTAATTCAAGTTAGTTTAGATCTAACAAAAAAACTTTTCAGTTGAACTACCCCGGTGTAACTGTAGCCAATGTCTCAGTGCAAAACCAAGGAGGACAGCCCAACATCCTTAACACTTTTTGGCAACAGTCAGATTTGGATTTATCGCGAGGAATGGATTTCCAGCCTCGAGGTTCTGTTTTCGTGCGATTTACACATTTGCAAAACCAAGATTTTACGTACACAATTACTGTGAACAACCAAGGAAACAATCGTATGGGTACTTGCAGAATCTTCCTCGCACCGAAGTTTGACGAAAGGGGCAATCCGTGGTTATTCAGAAATCAAAAAGATATGTTCATTGAAATGGATCGTTTCTCAGTTTCTTGTACGTAACGAAAGATCTAGCATCGCCAAAATCTTAACTGATTTGATTTTAGTGAAACAAGGGTCGAACACCATCACTCGTAATTCCACCGAATCGTCACTGACCGTTCCGTTTGAGCGAACGTTCAGAGATCTTGATGTTAACAGACCTACAGGGGGAGATGAACTGGAACGTTTCAATTTCTGTGGTTGTGGATGGCCGCAACATATGCTCTTGCCCAGAGGTACCGAAGCTGGTTTTCAGTGCCAGTTATTTGTTATGATTTCGAATTATGCGGACGACAGGGTAAATTTATTTTTATTTCAAAATTGATGAGTGTTGGTAATGGAAATGTTTGTAGGTTGAGCAAAATACGGACGGTATTTGCAGCGATGGTGATACTTTCTGTGGAATCAAGGACAAATTATACCCTGATAGACGCTCAATGGGTTATCCGTTCGATCGACAACCTCGTCAAGGAGTGGACACCCTTCAGCAATTCTTGACGCCCAACATGAGAGTTCAAGATGTGAATATTAAGTTCACTAACCGAGTTGTAAAACCAAGAAATAGGAATAACTAAACATGTACTTGGCTTTTGTCTAAGGGATTTGGATCGTTTTTGACTCATATACTCAATTTAGATTTGTACTACTTATTTTACTTATATTTTTTTATCTTGCTTCCGCATTATTCTTCTATTATCTGAATAAATCCGCTTTTGACATGATTGTTGTTATTATATTATCAAAACTTGTCTAGCTAAAAGGGCTAGCGACCTAAAACTAAATACTGATAAAGATAAGTTATAAAAAATAAATCGTACTGTGGTTTTCGAAAACTCTTATTACGTTGATAATACCAAGTTTGTGTTAGACAGTTTTCACCTTCTTAAAAAAAGGCATTTGGGCCCTCCGAGAAGGTTTCACACTTTAAAAAAAAGACAGTTGGAACCCTCGAGAAAATTTCACATTAAAAAAATACATTTGGTGCCCGAGAAGGACTTACATTAAAAAAAAAAACAGTTGAGATCCCCGAGAAGGTTTCACATTCTTAAAAAAAACATTTGACGCCTTCGAGGAGGTTTTACATTTTTAAAAAAGACAGTTGGGTCCAGAGGTTTCACATTAAAAAACAACACTTGGATCCCCCGAGAAGGTTTTACATTTTTGAAAAAGACATGTGGAACCCTGGAGAAGGTTTCACATTACAAGACAAGACATTTGGGACCCCCGAGAAGCTTTTACATAAAAAAAAACGGTTGGTCTCCCGAGAAGGTTTCACGTTCTAAAAAAAAACATTTGGCGCCCCCGAGAAGGTTTTACATTTTTAAGAAAGACAGTTGGGAGCCCCGAGAAGGTTTCACATTACAAGACAAGACATTTGGGACTCCCGAGAAACTTTTACATAAAAAAAAACAGTTGATCTCCCGAGAAGGCTTCACATTCAAAGAAAAAAAAAAACATTTGGCGTCCCCGAGAAAGTTTTATATTTTTAGGGAAGACAGCTGGGAACCCCGAGAAGTTTTCACTTAAAAAAAAAGACATTTAGGGCCCAGAGAAGGTTTTATTTACATTTTTAGAAAAGACAATTACGAGCCTCGAGAAGGTTTCACATTCTTAAAAAAAATACATTTGGGACCCCCGAGAAGTTTTACATTTTTAAAAAAGATAGTTGGAACCCCCGAGAAGGTTTTACACAAAACAAAGACATTTGGGGCCCCAGAGGTTTTATATTAAAAAAAAAAAGTTGGGTCCCGAGAAGGTTTCACATTCTTAAAAAAAGTAGAGAGTCGGTCGACAGACTCGATTACAATACTTCCTTCGCTTACGCTCGGGAAGTCATACATATATAGTCGTACATATATAGTGTTGTTATTACATTGTTCTTATTTTATTGTTTTCTTTATATACGCCTATGTTTTAGTGTTGTCATTTTTCATTTCTATGTTATTATATTTGACCAGTGGCGGCTCCTCGGGGTGGGCAGGGTGGGCAATGCCCACCCTATTTGATTGTTTATGATACGAAGTAAAACATTGTTTTTTTTTTCTTTTTTAAAATATTTTATATGTATACACAAATAATTATCGTCGTAAACATCATTTAAGCCAACGGATTTTCTTCATTACATCCCGCAGTTTCCGCAACTGAGAAATTGCAGTTGTAAAAAAGTGCGTCAGATCTCGGCGTTATACGGTTCATGTGAGGATGGGGTAGTCCACCCTGGTCCACCCTCTTGATTGTAAGCAACGACATACGTTCGGTTTTCTATGTACGTAATTGAGAGTAAAGAATTCGAAACGCGCGTCTCTGCATATCCCTGTTTTCTTGCTTCAAGCGGGGCAGGACGCCCTGGCCTCAACGTATATCTCAAACGCTGCAGAATCGGATCTCTCGATATTCGATTCAAGGATTTAATAAATTAATTTCGATTTTTTTACTTCTTCTGTATTGTAAAAGTATAGAGGTAATTATTTTTATTACTCAATTGAAATATGGGTAAGGTAGTAGGCAGGGCCGGCTCTAAGGGACCAGGCGCCCCGATGCAACTTACTGTTCAACGCCCTCTAAAAAATTTTTGTAAAAAAAAAATAAAATTTTGTAATCACATATTTTTCTGGAGAGACACTTTTTATTAACAAACATGCATAAAATTATAATGAATCAATCTTAATATATCAAAGTGTTTGTTCTGACTGACAAACTGACTGATTCATCAAAAAAAAACAAACGCAAAAGCAAAGCCTAAACGACTGAATCTACAAATATGAAATTTGGATAGTAGATTCCGTTTGTATCATAAGCACCCATTAAAAAAGGATTTTTGGAAATTCCGTCCTTACGGGGACAAAATAGAGGATGAAAATTTATGTAGGAATCTCCTGAGTTTTTAAGTTAGACGGGTTCACTGGGGAGGGGGGAGTGAACGAGATGAAAAATTTTTCAATTTTCAATATCGTAAAATTGATACGATTTCAAAGTTAAATAAATTATTTAATTTGGACTTACTTGAATATTAATCGAAATTTAAATTAAAAATTAATGATGACAAAAAGCCAAAGAATGGTACACAGAACCAAATTCGACTACAAACAGGAACAGTAAAAAATATAACAAAACTGTTGAACAACCACCACAACTAACCCGCTAGACTTGGAAAATAAATTTTTTAAGTATGTGCCAACATGGAGTTTTATGGTAAAAACAAACGTGGCAATGTTAGGAAAAACATCTGGTTTTGGTCATACCGCTGTCTCGTCAAATTGTTACCCAGATAATGCAATCATAAATCTGGTTATTTTTTGTCGGTATGCTGTTCCTGCTATAATATTTTGTACGTCCTGATTCAATGCAAATCTAATATTAATTTATTTCTGTAAAGTTGATATAAAAGCAAAGGCGGCTCTTGCCGCCCGGCGCCCCTTGTCGCGGGCGCCCCGATGCGGTGCATCTTTCGCTTACCGTGTTGAGCCGGCCCTGGTAGTAGGGTAAATAATGTTATGCGAAAATTCTTGAATACTGTTGTTACAGAAAAGAGCAACACCATAATAATTAATAAATACTTTTTCATATCAAATGAAAATTTGTAATAACCATATTCTTGTATTATGACACCGTGTAAACTTTATAATGAATTATAAATTTAAAAATCCGAATAACCAATGATGAGAATAAGTAATACATTTATTGTTGCAGTGCGTATCTGACATGTTGTGATAACCCAAACTTCCCGCCTTAAAATTTTGACCTTGAAACAGTTTGAAAGGCCCGCGAAAAATTTAAAAATTCAAAGTTTGGCCTTGGCTGTGATCGTCTAACAAATGAGAACCTACGTTGTGTGTGTTTTTTTTTTTTTTTTGGTTTTGAAAAATGGCGGGAAGAAGTTCTTTCATACAAGTGCATACACTGTCGAGAGCGCAAGAAATAATTAACAGAAATTGTTTTGGAGGGGGGGAAACGGCACCACCCTCACAGGGGGAAATACGCTGCGAAGATTTACCCCTCAGCGCAAAAACCCCCTTGGTTTTATTCCCGGACGACATTTTATTACATTTCAAAACCCTTAAGATATGTGAAAGAAAAACACTCGCGAATTGACAGACCTACACATATGAAAACCGAACAAACACAAGACCTACACATATGTAAATTGGATGGCAGAACCCGAATCATTATAAGAGTGTGGCGATCGAACAAAATATAGAACAAAATATATCAATTTCATTTACGAGCACAGAAAATACCCAGAGGGGGCGTCGTAGCGTGAGCGAAGTTTGGAGCTCCCGGTCTGGGCTGGTTTCCCCCGCGACGGTGATTCTATCTACACCAAGCCTGCCAGACAGCACCCCTCCATGACGAACATGCCGTCCAAGCAGGCCGTTTCGGCCTAAAACTAGCGGTGAAGTCTGGTCAACTACTACCTCGTCGTCAAGACCGTTCCCACTGAAATCTAGTTCAAAGCCTGCACATATGTGCAGAGAGCGCGACACATTCCGCTACCGCAACTAGGAACTGCGCCCATCGCCGACACTACGTGTTATTGTGTTATTTACCTTCAATTCTATTTAAATGTTCAAACTCTATAACCCTAATATGAAATTACAACCGAACAAATGTTAAAGTTTCAACAAAGAACAATCAACAACATTTAAATTCGCCACACACTCTTACGGAAATTCAGTCAACAAATAATTCTTAATTGAGATCAAATTTGGATATCAGATAATTTACATGATAGAAATATTTACCAACAAAACATTTACAAGATCAAAACTTAGCAAAGATTTGTGAAAACAAAGATCTGGTATGAAATAAGCTTGTACAAATTAAATATCATGTTAGGTCAGAACTGCAGAGCATGGAAAGTTACGTTCAATTCAAATTATACAGCAAAGAAAATTACTGAAGCTAAAATTATGAGACAAAGACAAATTGCATGAGATGAAAGATTGTAAAGTTAACAGATTTACATGTGATTAATATTAATTCGTGTCCAGTCAAGTTATTGGTTAAAATTCAAACGTGAAATTATTTAAATGCATTGTGGGCCATTATTACACATACATTTCCTCAAACAAAACACATAAACAAACATGGCAGACAAGCTGCAGTTGCAAAATGGCGTTGGACGAATTCGTCATTCCAAATAATAGGCGTCGAAAATATGCGATGCAAAATACGATGAATCCTGTGGCGTTGTATAAACGATGGGCTAAATAAAAGGAATAGAAGGCACGTCCCCCCATGACCCACAATGTTTGTTAATTTGTTCAATAGATTCAGTTAAAACATGTGGTCGTTTAAAAGAAACAAAATGGACGCTTCAAAATGGCCGCTGCCTGAACAAAGAACGGTGAAAATAACAACTCGTTTGCCGCCATCCAAAATACAGATTTCACAAATATAGCTAAATAAAGCATGGCCCGAACTAGAAATCACTTCCTGTAAAGCCCTACTGCGATGGATTTTTAAATGAAAGGTAAAAAAACGAGATTAGTGGAAAAAGGCGCACGCGTCGCTGTGTCACGAGGTCAGAAGTATCGTCGGGGCTTGAAACTCGCGGCGAAACAGGTCCCAGTCGAAAACGTGTTCAAAACATACCTCTCCAAAGATGCGAAGATTTCGACACGGCTTACCGCCAACAGGAACACAAAAACCTCGTCGTAAGAACGATGAGAAATCAGGAACACCCAGTGGCTCAACGGGGCCTACTAGGTTTTCCAATGGA